AATATGTTACCATTAACAATCGCAAAGGACCTTATCCAAACCTCAACTAAACCGACTACCCAGGTAAATTGACCCTCAAGGAATATTTAAATGGCAATTCTAAATGCAAAAGTATGAAAGACTGTAGCTTATTCATAGAAGCAACCATTAATAAAAAAGACTCACTCTGTAGTGCTGACAACTATGGTCATATGACACTATCAATTGCAGTTATTTTCAAGATTCTTACATACAATCCTCCAGAAATTACATAAGCATCTATAACTTAGCACAGTGTCAATATCTGGTGCAACCTTAACAAAATGAAATTCCCAAACTTCCTCCTCACTGAATATTTCAGAAGTTAAATTGGTAATGTGTTCCATTCTTGATGGAGGGCTTGCTCCAGTACATCAAGATTTTGTACGGGAAGATCGCTCTGATGTATTCTGCAATTCATAACGTTCCAAACATCTCTATTAGTGGTGTAACGATTCATCGATAGTATCGATGTTTACATCGTCAACTACGTGATACGAGTGCATCGATACAAAACACATTTTGGCAATATATCAGGATGTTTATATCACGAGGGTCTATGATACATCGATGTATCGCCACAAGAGGCGATATATCCCGATACAACTCAAATACTACTTAAAGTTGTAAGGAGTATTGCAATAAGAATAGGAAAGGAGTTTCTTTGAAATTCTTCTGAATTTTAAAAGCAAATTGAATTTTAAAGGAATTTGTTTGTGTCTGTTATCTTTGTTACATGAACAAAGGAGTTGGTGTATAAGTCAAAGAGTGTGAACATTTTACAAACTCTGTGACTTGGAGAATACTTGTCTTCAAGTAATTGAAATATGCAGATATGTTTTAGTTGTTTGACAATTAACAACTTTTATTAACAACTATGAACAATGTCTTAGCTTTGTAAAGTAGAGAACAAAGAGAAGATAAAGTTTAGAAAGCAGACTTCAGAGTTTTTTTCAGTGATTCTAAATTCTGATATAAATTACAGTGAGTTGTTTGTGAAAGCATTGGTGTAGAAGCACAACTTCCCAGGGGAAACTTCACTTTCAAATTTATATATATATCAGATCAAAGTATACTGAATATGTTTGACTGTACTTTCTTAAGCATTAAATGCTGAAACTTTATTGATGAACAGCTTTTTAAGTGTGTGTGAACGTAAACATGTTCTGCTGTGTAACAAATAAGTTTCAGTCATTTTATATGCCATATCTGTTCTTTTTTTAGAAATTATAAAGTATCGGGATACGTATTGTATCGGCACAATTGTATCGTGATGATAATCATCTCGCAGGTTCCTTTCCAATACTTTCATGAGGTATCGTCTCGCCTCATTAAACTGGTATCGGGATATATCGTCTCGCCACTTAGGCCACGAGACACAGCTCTAATCTCTATGGGATTGAAATTTGCACTCCAGGCAGGTCAAAGTTGAGTTGCTACCGCCTCTTGACGTAAGAAATCACCAAAGGAGCAGAAACGATGTGACCTACATCGATGCAGATGAAGACTGGCTTTGTGTTCAAAGGATGGTCACAGAAACATGGAATAATAACCCTGTCTAGTATGTCAGTGATGTACCGTTGTCCATTCAAATTATATCTGATCATCGTCAGTGAAGCTTTGCCAAACAAAATTAGCTCCAAGATAATCTGTTATCATGGTTATACATAATGCAGTGTTCCTGCTGCGCCAAACTTGAACTTGACCCTATTCCATGATGTCAAATTCCAGTGACATCACACTAAGCTAGTCGTGCTGCAAATATTAGTCCGATTTAATAAGTTAAACTGAAACCCTTTAACATCATTCAACTCAAATTAACAGTTAAATCGACCCGATAATAATGTGTTGAATAAGGCCTGACGTTCATTGCAGTGTAATACTGTTGTGAGATAAGACACAAGACCAGACATGCTGTGTGAGTTAGCCACACAGAAACAAGCAATGATGTAATGTTGGCTGACAGGGACAGGTGGGGATAGAGATAATTGCCACAGACAGACACCCTCAGGCTATCTCACAACACACAACATACTTGCTAATTAGGAAGGCAGGTGCAAAGGCTGCCTCTTTACTATTTTCACTTGGTGACAGTCAATCACAGCATGAAATCACTATGATTCTTACACAACCACAATCAAATTTTTATCAGTAACCTCACATCCCATATAATATCATGATTAAAAGAAAGAAACCTCTTAACAGCTAATCATTTTCTCAGAAAGTTTGTTATCTTATCAGCGAAGAAAGCACACAAAGGGCCTGGATCAAATATGGCAAAAAACAGATAGTTTCCCAATCTACCTGCAGCTTTGTGTTGTAGACACCACTCACCTCACCTGTGTCTACCTGCAACATGTAGTAGACAACACACTTCTGTCTACCTGCACCACCCTGTAGCAATAGCTGGTATGGTGGTGCGACACAAACAATGAGGAGTCAACATCACCCATCATGAGGCCAACACACTGCAAGCAGGCTAGGACAGTTAGGCATATTTACAACTAACTCCAGGCACAAACAGACAGCATAAACAACACAGGACTTCGCCAGCAGACATGGTGATGTTGGTTATTTGACAGCACTTTACATGACCTAGAGCAAATTAAATGTAGCAGTTCAGAACTTGCAAGGCCCATAACATGTCCAAAACAATACCACTAATCATAGACAAATTTGCACACACTGATCATGAACACGATGAAAACATACTGCAAACATACCATGTGTCACCTAAGCATATACTGTACAAGATGAACATTGCATTCAACATGTTGGATACAGCTGCTAAGTAAAGTTAGATCATTTTACGTTACTCTGCAAATATAAATACTTCTGCAAATACCCCGATAAATGAAATGTGTCATTCCTTTCAGAATATCATCCTGCAAACCACAAGAGTAACTTACAATCATTCACAATAAAGCAGAGATTATTTCAAAATGTATCATGAATGCTTCAAGATCTCGGTAACTGACAATCTAAAGCATGGAAAAAAAGGTCAAAATGCCTCCACTATAAGAAAACAATTCTTTCACCTAGACCCAGTTACACAAAGAAAAGATATTAATAAATGATCACTGAAAGAGATAAAGCTGCAACCATCAGACTCTACACATCAGTATGCATTCATATTGTTTGTTAATCACAACAGAAATGGGTATAACCATCGCAATGTTGAATGTAAGTGAGGATGCCACTACTTTGTACACTGTGCCTATATGTGACACTCTGTACAGGCACATTTAGCGCACAGTGAATGAGGTCTGGGAAGTCAACATCAAGATGAAAATTACTGTTCATTATGGTTTCATTACTTTGTCATAACATCAAACTTAGATGCATTATCAAGTGATCATGGTTATGTACATCAAGCAGATGGAACTAGCAGCGTAAACACTACTCTTCAAGCTCAAAGCACGAGACCTGCTAGGACTCAAGTATTCACCAAATCCATGTAATACACCATCAGATGAACATTTACAAAAACAAAAATAGCTGATTTACAGAGAGCACAAGATGAGATCTATTTTTATAGTTGTTTTTTAACCAATAGCTCAGCAGCAATGTTTACTACACGCTGTGAGAGAGAAAAACCCAACTAAATTGTCCGTACTGGATGGCATGTAATTTTGACCTTTGTTGGTAACATTTAATACTTTATTTTAAACATGTCTATATTACGGCGTACTATCAATCTTTATTTTAACTGTTGTATTCTTTGTCCTTATGGCCACCCAAAGTAATGTTCATCATGCTGCTTGCAAACAGGGATTCTACCAACAAATGGTTTTCACACTGATCCACACTCTTAATATGGTTACTCGATACTCATTTGGAATTAATGTTTTGCTTCATGCAAAAACTTGAATATTTCCTTCAAAAAGTAGTATCACTACAACGATGTTCTAAACACTGCATAGATCCCATTTCTACAGTTACTTCGTGAAGTGGAGGCTTGCCATGTACTCTGCTTGTACTACACAGTGGCATGTCAGACAGAGACGCAGTGAGCTAGCCCCACTGTGCAGTGTGAGGGAAAGAAGTCCTTCAAGAGTCAGATGAGAGACACAAAGAGAGGATTCCAGCACTAAATATATACTAAACATATGGCCTGAAAATTTTGAAATTGCTGGCTAAAATTGTAATTGCTTTCCATAATAGAATAACCAGTTCTTTCATCATTTTTAAGAACCATTTCATACTAAACCATTTCCTCTTATCCACCATATCAGCAGCAATACATTCCTTTCCCTTTCACACATGAGCAAATGAGATATCATGGAGATTGTAATTCATACAATTGTAATTGATCATCGTGTTGGAAAATTTGATGTTACTGAAGATATACGTATATATGATGAGAACTTTGTATGACAGCTTAACAAATCATCAAAACAAGGTGGAGACAATTTATGCACATATAGATTCAAGACACCAATACTTGTTCACCTGATGTGGTGCCATGACAGAACACACTGAATATATAATTATGGGTGTGGCTGTCAAGAACTTTCTGTTTATCCTGTTCAGTATCCAATAAGGTCATTTTGAGCGTGTATTCCCGCTGATCAAAGCAGAACATTCCCATGTGATGACCTTATGTTCGCTGGTATTTGTGCTTTTCCATGTAACAAAAGATGGGCAATCGGTAAATTAATATCTCTGTTTCTAATGACAATCACGTCACCTCGCTATCTGATGAATGACAATATGTACAAGTGACTATAACATAGCCAGAACACACAAACAGAATAGCAACCTAGCACGATCTCTGAAAGTCCTGATGTCGAAAAGGACAAATATAGCTATGTACACTGAGTAAGAAGAGAGGCATTTCCTAGTTCTTTCAATCAGCGATCAGGTGGTCTTTATCATTGGGGCGTGGACCTCGCGTTCAGAACCTCCACAGCCAATCTAGTGTAACTAACTACAACATATAGGAGTAATGAAGCACGACTAAAGCAAATACTATGTCTTACCTTCGAGAGCGAGTTTGTAAGAGTGATGATTGTCAACGAAATATCGCAACATGTACTAACACCTGAACCGGCACTGTCTCGCGTCAAAGCTGAGACTATATCCTTCCGCCCTCACCTGGCAAAATAGTCCCAGTCTAATGACATCTCTTAACGATACAACTTTATATATTTCAAACGTTGCTGTTATATGTTATGTATGCTAAATATATTTCGTTTGTGTTGGCTTAATTATCATATTGAATAGGACAGGATTTCTAGGGTTATTTGTTTTCAGAAAAGTTAGAACAAGTTTACATCGACAGGTGAGTTGTGACGTCATCTCACGGGCAGCATGATCTGAACCGGAAATTACCTGTCGTCACTGCTACGCCGCCAATTTCAAAGGACACAAACGCGACTGCTCGCGCACGCACGCACACAATGTGTGTGTATGGGTGCGTGCGCGCACGCATCCAGTATACCTCACAGTACGATTAACTCGACTGACAATGACATGATGGTACAGCTTTTATTACTAATACAATATGACTGTTTCAGTATACAGTGAGTGAGTGAGTAAGTATGGTTTTATGTTACTTTTGTAGCAGGGCGTGGAGTCATCCCACAGATGACATCCTTACCTTGTCAGCTTGCTGACGGGGTTAACCTCTTTGGTCATGTGGACAAGGCGTCCGACTTCGGATTAGAAGGTCTGTGGTTCGAATCCCAGCACTGGACTCGGAAATTTTATGGCCGCTACACTTTTAACAATTTTCCAGCAATATCTCGGTGGGGGATACCAGAAATTAGCTTCACACATTGTACCCATGTGAAGAATCGAACCCGGGTCTCCGGCGTGACGATCGCACGCTTTAACCACCAGGCTATCCCATCGCCCCCGTTTCAGTTTATAAGCATAGGCGCCCGGCTCTGATATATTTAGAAGTCTGACCTATATAGGTCATACTTATAAATATATCAGAGTCGGGCGCCTATGTTTATAAGTACCTTGAGTATATATGATCAGGCCCCGATTTACTCAAATTTCAAACTGAGTTTGACAATTTGAAACAGCTGAATTTATAAAATAAAAAAGCCCAAACAACTTAAGTAATCCATCCACCAAGCTCAAATTGTCAAGTATGTTTGAGTTTAATATCATTTTCAGTTCATTCTGTTAAATGCATTTTCTCTATTTGAGTAAAAACTCGAACATAAGTCAAAACTCAGACTTAAGTTTGTTTCGAGAAATCGGGGCCAGGCCATGCTGTTGATCACTGGATTGTCTGGTCCAGACTCGATTATTTACAGGCCGCCGCCAAAAACTGGAATCTGGAATATTGCTGAGTGCGGCGTAAAACTAAACTCACTCACACTCACTCACTCGCGGGATGATTTACTGTCGCCATTCAGGTCGCGTGATCGTGCCTTACGAACAAATATCTAAATCTGTCAATGACAGTAATATAGATGGTATATTTGATACAATTAGGCCTTTTCTATGCAGGCATAATGATGATTTTATTATATAAATGTCCAGTGCACGCAATGTATTGTGAGACCGCATCCGTGGTGTAGTGGTTAGAGCGTCCGCCCTGAGAGCGGAAGGTCGCGGGTTTGATCCCCGACTGCGTCATACCAATATATGGTACTTGTTGGTCCCTGCCTGGCGCTCGGCATTAATGGGTACAACAAGGACTGGTCGGCTCGGAGTCAGTATAATGTGTCTGAGTGGGTTATTCATGCTTCACTGCGGCGTGGTATCTCAGTGGGTTAGCACTATTAAACCAGCTAGTACAAGCAGCCGCACATACACATACACACGCATGCACGTCGTCATATGAGCGAAATATTCTCTAGCACGACGTTAACCCCAATTTCACCTCACCTCACCTCACCTCATGTATTGTGAATGGTTCAAGTTTTGTTTTGAGTGAAACTAAACTGTACGCTGAAGGGCCGTTGCTACTGTCCCAGGCTGTGACTGTACGGGTAGTTGCGCCTTTACAGAGTGAGTGAGTCCTGTGATAGGTATTCGGAAAAAATCATTTCTCAAAGACTTGTATGTATATTTGTTGTATCATAAATAATTTTTATTATATGAGTTCCTGGTGGATATTTGTGAAGTTCTGCAGGTAAAATTGAAGTCATAGCTATGCACATGGTTAAGATTAAATTATCCGACAACTATTTTATTTTGACTAATCACAGTTACACCATATGTTATGTTTTGAACATCGTGCTATACTAAAGTAAACACGCAGGTCGATGTGGAAATGTCTTGTCTTGTCTTGTTTGCTTTAAACGGTATGGTGTACTGCACGGCTTAAATTCTTTTCAGTAATGGATGATGAGTTTTGCCTTTCCTTAAATTCGTCACAAGTTGTCACAAGTACCCCAATTAAATCTAAAACTACGACAATCCTCTGGATGCGGGAGAAGCTTCAAAACTAAGTATTATATGGCTTGAAACTTCAGTCCGACAGCATCCACAAGAACATATGGAGATTCCAATGCGTTGTATGTAATAAGAAATTCAACCAACTGTGGAGTTACAAATCTCTGTAAATCAACATCATGGTTTAAGACAAAAGAAGTGTCCAAGTTGTAAGAGTTGAGTTGAGTTGAGTTGGGCTTTACGTCACATCGGCATTATTCCAGCCATATAGTGACGAGAACAAGTCTGCATTAATATACATTGTAAGTACAAAGTGGTTTCGTTTCAAAGACACACATTCATTACATTGTTATTTTGGAACAGAGAACCAAGTTGTAAGAAATCGTACTTGTCAAAGAACCATCGCAAGACCTGTTCGGGTAAGGATGACCCCAGGGATGTCTGTCAGAGAGTCATGGCAATGGATTACATGTATGGACACAAGAGATGCTACCACGATGGTAGAACGTACAGGTGCCATACATGTAATGAAACCTTAAAATAGCGATCCTCGCTACATTATCATGAGAACAACGTACACAATGAACAATGAACACCAGCGTATATTGATATCATATATATAGATATCATATATCTCAGATAGCTCAAGTAAACAGTCGTCTGCTTTATGTTCATGTCGCTGCAGTGGATATCCAAGTTTTAGTGTTATATACGTACTGATGACAAAGGGCAAACTATGGTGTACTATATTTGCCATCGCGTGGCGCGTAAAAAACGAACGACGTCGCATAAAAATACGACAAAAATACAAAATCGACGTCGTGAGGCCGACGTCGCTTAGAAATTGTTATATTGGAAAATCGGTGAATAAACTTTGGTTATGCAGTTGTACTGCTATTGATCTCTAATCACTGATTTCATGTTCAACATATATTACTACTTATTTAAAGGTCACATGCAACCCCAAAAAACAACAAACATAATTAAGACACAATTATCTCCGGTGGCATAATAGTACGGAAGCCTTTTATATGGAAGCCTTTTAGGGCCATGTGTTTTTTTATATTTTTCTTGAAATTTCAAGATACTAAGTTGAAATTTCAAGATGCTAAGTTGAAATTTCAAGATAAATATTAAGTTGAAATTTCAATAAAAGAACGCATGGCCCTAAAAGGCTTCCATAGAATAGCGTAGCTAGTGCCCGATGACAATGGAGCAAAGTTGAATTTTCAAGATATTAAGTTGAATTTTCAAGAAAGGATGTTGAATTTTCAGGATGGCAAGTTGAATTTTCATGATACAAGATGCTGAATAATAGCGTAGCGTGGCCTTAATAGGCTTCCGTACGAAACGAAGAACCCGCGATACCCGCGATACCGAACCCAGTCAGAGCGTGTAATGAAGACTTTCAATGGCTGGTTCATTTGCCGATACAGTCTTTGTGTGTGTATAGAGATGTTGGGTTTTGTAAATACATGCTCATTTTGTGTGTATAACATTTTGCAATCAACAGACATAATAACATGTCATGTGTACAAGTATCACACCTGCCAGTCTGTGTAATTACATAATGTGACAGAGACAGAACTCGGGTGCACGAGCCATAAATCAATGCATTTTGTTATTTTTTTATAGCCTGATAGGTGTTAAGGTCAAACTGCATGTGGTCAGTGATATAAGTTGTGTATTGCACATTGTCATTAGCAGACAGGCAGACACGTAGGTGTCAATAAAACGGCCATTGAGTTTTGTCTGTGTGACAGAGGCCGGGCTTCCAAGCTGCCCGAACCTAGTCACTGCGCATGCGCCATGAGCGCAGTGCAGCGCAGCACGGTTGCTGAAACCACTTTTCATTTAGTGAATCGTTTGAACTCCGATTTCGCGGTGTGTGTGTGTTTCATCGCGTTATTTTTCAACTTTATAAGTTGAATTTGCATTTTTGATCATTTGTTAATGTAAGTCCATTCTGAAAGGTTTCAGAATCTGCAAAGTTGTCAGAATCTTTGGGTCGGGGTAAAAATCCTTCGATGTGTGATGTTATGAAAACGGTGTTGTTTTGAGGGATTAAGACACTGCAAAATGTAAATTGTGCCCACTCAGACAACGAAATATGAAATATATTTGTACCAGCGGGTTGACATGTGAACCAGCGGCTTTAGTGGGTGAGTGTACTTCACTCAATTCATTAGTAGTAAGTTATTCAATTTCTTACATAATCTTACATGGCAAAAGAATGTTGGACGTGACAGTTTTCATCCATTCCACAACTTCAGTTATGGCAAAGGCACAATAGGTTTCTTCCTACTTCTCGTGGTGGAAGATACATATATGTAAATGGTTATATGTTTATTGTGAACAAGAAGAAATGGGGAGAATGGATCTCGTGGAGATGCATTCAGAAACACTGCATATCAGTCTCAACAGTGAATGACATAATTTCCATAATACCTGGAGACCACAGCCACGGACCTGTACACAACGAAGTCAAGGTGAATCTTTTCGACTGTACAAAAAAAACTGACGGTCTCCGCACAAACAACCTCGGGGGTTGGCATGGCCGTCTCGAGAAGGTTGTGGGAAAACAACATCCCAACCTTTTTCCCAAGTTTGGTAGATGAACAAGGACTGAACGAGGCAAAGATGCTTCAGTACAGTGCCGGCCAAAGACTGTCCCCAAAAAGAAGTACAGAGATTTGGAGGAACGACTAAATAACTTTTATATGTTATGTTATTTAAGTTGTTTATTTTAGTACTGTAAACTTTTTAT